TCGTAGCATGCACCACGAATCGATGAGTATCGGAACCAACCAGGAATCAGCTTACCACATTCTCAAATAAGCGGAAAAACACAAACGTGACGCGAAATACCCTTACGCTCGTGGCTGGAAACATGATCGAAACACGCGGAGCCTTCCGACCATCAGCAGATCAACTCAATCAACTGAAGCGGTCACCATGACGGTTCGTGACCATTTATTCGTCACAACACCAGCCCTCTCATGAGCTCGTCTACCGATCCCACTCACTCACTATCCAATTGACACTGCCAGTGCACCACGCAGCGAGGAAGTTATCGACTCGACCGACCGACCGTACCGACCGATCAAGAAGCGACAGACGAACTCGACCGTAGAAGATCATCGCTCTCGCCATCACTGCGCTAGCCACCGTAGCAAGCGTCGCATCCGCTGACTGACTACCAGCCGGCTCTCCGAGTACTTGCCGCACAGGAGCCAGCTGCACCCATTGCCTGACACACTTGCTTCCGACCCGACAAGCGGCAATCCTCTCTCCTATGGAGGGCTGCTGCAGCTGCCAACACGGAGCATGATGTCGATGATGACAGCCGAAGAAGGCCAAGTGAGAGGTGGGAACGACAGGATAAGGACATCGCTGGGGAGGCTATGGATGGAGGTCGTCCCTAGAGGTGGCTACAGTGGTGGCTGGGGTGGATACGGTGGCGGCTGGGGGATGGTAGACGTCACACATCAATGACACCATCGACTACGCTTGCAACCTGACGCATCTCACACGGACGGAACAGAACAAGGCGACTGCAATGTGGCCAATCAAATGGAAATCGGCGTGCTCATTCAGCCTCGCTTTGTTCTCTAACGCTGTGGAGGATTCGTCAATGTTGTTCTGGTAGCCACATTAGTTCAACATATCGCGTCAATGAAACACATGCTCGACTACCTTTTGTGTTGAGTGCAGCGGCTCGGTGCAAGCAGCTTGCGCTGCCCCCGCTTCCGAGATGCTGCAGACGTCGCAGACAGCCTCCCCCCTCATTACGTGCGATAAACACGTTTAGATCAACTCGCCTCCACGATCAATTTGCGCATGATCCACTTTTCTAGTTCCCACCGTTCCGACCCGCTTGTTCGTATTGACACACGTTCCCTCTTACTACTGATATTGACTTGCTCCTACTGACATTGACTTGCTCCTACGTTCGATCAGCTCCATTTCTGCACAGTGAATGGTGCCATGCTTTCTCGTAGATGTATGGCAAGCGCACTGAATTGCCGTACCCTTTAAGAAATATTCCAAAGCAGACGCATAAATTTCCCTTTATTTCCTGCTATAACAGCATGCTTTGCAGGAGTATCTTTGATAGACGTCAACACGTCGTATCGATATCAGATCGCCAGGTTGAAGCTGGTGTTGAACACTTTGACAAGGTTGAACACTACGACAAGGTCATCGAGGCTCTGACCCCACTTACGTCAATACGGAAGTAGACACAGTACAACACGACTCCCGATGCAAACCAGGAAACAAACACTGACACTGACCTCCATCGTACTGATTTATAGGCCTAAAAAATAGCATACACCACGAATCGAAGCCAGTATCCGGAGCCAGCCAGGAATCAGCTACCACATTCACTAAGAAACGGACAAACACAAACGTGACGCGAAATTGCCTTTCACGCTCGTGGCTGGAAACATGATCGAAACACGCGGGCCTTCGACCATCGGCTTGATCAACTCAGTCAACTGAAGCGGTCACCATGACGGTTCGTGACCATTTACCCGTCACAACACCAGCCCACTCGCGAGCTCGTCTACCGATCCCACTCACTCACTATCCAATTGACACTGCCAGTGCACCCGCAGCAAGGAAGTTATCGACTTGACCGACCGACCGACCGACCGATCAAGCGACAGACGAAGGCTCGACCCATGAAGATCACCGCTCTCGCCATCACTGCGCTAGCCACCGTAGCAAGCGTCGCATCCGCTGACGACTACCAGCCGGCTCTCCGAGCACTTGCCGCACAGGAGCCAACTGCACCCATTGCCGACACACACTTGCTTCCGACCCGACCAAGCAACAATCCTCTTCTCATGTGGAGGCTGCTGCTGCAGCTGCCAACACGGAGCATAATGTCGGCGATGACAGCAAGAAGGCCAAGGAGTGGTGGGGGACGACCGGGATGGGGACATCGCTGGGGAGGCTATGGATGGGGGGCGTCCCTGGGGTGGCTACGATGGTGGCTGGGGTGGATACGGTGGATACGGTGGCGGCTGGGGATGGTAGGGCGTCACATCAATGACACCATCGACACGCTTACAACCTGCCGCACTCTCACACGGACAGGTACCAGAACAAAGGCGATGCAGTATGTTAAGCCCAATCAAATGGGAAATCGCGCATGTGCTCATTCAGCCTCGCTTTGTTCTCTAACGCTCTGAGTTCGTCCAATGTTGTTCTGGGGTCGCCACATTGGTTCAACACTATATCGCGTCAATGAAACACATGCTCGACTACCTTTGTGTTGAGTGCAACGGCTCGGTGCAAGCTTGGCGCTGCATACTTCCGAGATGTTGCCTTCGTCTCGCAGACGGCGCCTCCCCACTCCATTACGATAAGATACACACGTTCTGATCAACTTGCCTCCGGTCGCATGGCCTCCGATCCACTTTTCTGGTTCCACACATTCCGACCCGCGCTTGTTCGTATTGCAACGTTCCCTTCTTGCTGATATTGACTTACTCCTACTGATAGTGACTTGCTCCATTCGATCGCTCCATTTCTGCACAGTGATTGCCATACTTTCTCGTAGCTGTAAACCAAGCCTTATGAGGTGTGCCGCACCCTTTGCAATATCCCAAAGCGGGCCAGCACATTCCACTTCATTTCCACCAAACGTGCTTTGAGGATATCGATAGACATCACAAACGTCATCGATATCGGTCGCCAGGTTGAGAAGCTGGTTTTGAACACTACGACAAGGTTGAACGCGACAAGAAGGTCGTCAGCTCAGACCACTACGCGTCAAATACGGAAATGAACTTCGATTTCAGCACGACTCGATGTGGGAAGCCAGAGGAAACAAACAAGACACCGACCTCCATCATTGCTGTTCGTGGCCACCCCCGTAGCACTTTACCACGAATCGACGAGTATCGGAACCAGCCAGGAATCAACTACACGGCACATTAGCTAAAAAGCAGACGAAACACAAACCTCACTCGAAGTTCATTTCACGCTCGTGACTGAAACGTGATCGAGACGCGCTTATTCCCACCTTTGTCAACCATCCAACTTGATCCAACTCACCCGATCAACTGAAGCAGTCACCTTGACGCTACGTGACCATTTACCTTTATCGCAACACCAGCCCACTCGCGAGCTCGTATACCGATCCCCACTCACTCACAATCAATTGGCACTACCAGAGCCACCACACAGCGAGCAAGTTATCGACTTGACCGACCGACCGACAAACCGATCAAGCGCGGACGAGGACATCGACCTATGAAGTTCATCGCTCTCGCCGTCACTGCGCTAGCGCGCCTTGTATGCAAGCGCACTCCATCACTGACGACTACCAGCCGGTGCTTGAGCACTTGCCGCACATGAACCAGCTACACCCAGTACCGACACGATGGCAAGGGGTCCGACTTCCGACCGGAGCGACAATCCTCTTCTCCTGTGGAGGCTGCTGCTGCAGCTGCCAACACGGAGCATAATGTCGACGATGACAGCAAGAAGGCCAAGGAGTGGTGGGGAGCCGGGATGGGGGACATCGCTGGGGGAGGCTATGGATGGGGGCGTCCCCTGGGGTAGTGGTTACGGTGGTGGCTGGGGTGGATACGGTGGCGGCTGGGGATGGTAGACGTCACACATCAATGACACCATCGACACGCTTGCAACCCTGCCGCACTCTCACGGACGGAAAGAATCAAAGCGACTGCACTGAGCCAATCAAATGCAGAAATCGGCAGTGCTTCATTCAGCCTCGCTTTTGTTCTCCAACGCTCTGAGTTCGTCCAATGTTGTTCTGGTCGCCACATTGATTCAACATATCGCGTCAATAAAACACATGCTTCACCTCACCTTTAGTGTTGAGTGCAACGGGCTCGGTGCAAGCTTGGCGCTGCCAAGCTTCCGAGATGTTGCAGCACATCGCAGTCAACCCCTCCCCCTCATTAGGATAAGATCACACGTTCAGATCAACTCGCCTCGATCAGTGTGGCCTCGATCCACTCTTCTGATTCACACGTTCCGACCCGCTTGTTCGTATTGACACGTTCCTTCTTACTGATATTGACTTGCTCCAACTGATAGTGACTTGCTCCATTCGATCGCTCCATTTCTGCACAGTGATTGCCATACTTTCTCGTAGCTGCAAACCAAGCGCTGTGAATTGCCGCACCCTTTGCAATATCCCAAAGCAAACGCTTGCATTCCAGCTTCATTTCCACCAAACATGCTTTGAGAGTATCGATAGACCTCAACACTGTCATCGATATCGGTCGCCAGGTTGAAGCTGGTGTTGGACACTACGACAAGGTTGAACACTACGACAAGGTCATCAGCTCTGGCCACAGCGTCGATACGGATGTAGACACAGTACAACACGACTCCCGATGCGAACCTGGGAAACAAACACTGACACCGACCCTCCATCTGTACTGTTCGTGGCCACCCCCTACTCTGTGGCATGCACCCCACGTCGACAGCGTATCGGAACCAGCCAGGAATCAGCTACCATATTCGCTAAGAAACGGACAAACACAAACGTGACTCGAAATAGCCTTTCACGCTCGTGGCTGGGAAACATGATCGAAACACGCGGGCCCTCCGATTATCAGCTTGATCAACTCAATCAACTGGAACCTGTCACCATGACGGTTCGTGACCATTTACCCGCCACAACATCCGGTTCTCCACTCACGAGCTCGTCTACCGATCCCACTCACTCACTATCCAATTGACACTGCCAGTGCAACCCACGCGCGAGGAAGTTATCGACTCGATGACCGACCGACCGACCGATCAAGCGATAGACGAACTCGACCGTGAAGATCACCGCTCTCGCCATCACTGCGCTAGCCACCGTAGCAAGCGTCGCATCCGCTGACGACTACCAGCCGGCGCTCCGAGCACTTGCCGCAGCAAGGAACCAACTGCACCCATTGCCGACACACTTGCTTCCGACCCGACCAAGCAACAATCCTCTTCTCCTGTGGAGGCTGCTGCTGCAGCTGCCAACACGGAGCATAATGTCGACGATGACAGCAAGAAGGTCAAGGAGTATTAGGTGGGGACGACCGGGATGGGACATCGTGGGGAGGCTAGTGGATGGGGGCGTCCCTGGGGGGTGGTTACGGTGGTGGCTGGGGTGGATACGGTGGCGGCTGGGGATGGTAGACGTCACATCAACGACACCATCGACACGCTTGCAAACCTTTGCCGCACTCTCACACGGACGGAACAGAACAAGGCGACTGCAATGTAGCCAATCAAATGGAAATCGGCATGCTCATTCAGCCCTCGCTTTGTTCTCTAACGCTCTGAGTTCGTCCAATGTTGTTCTGGTCGCCACATTGGTTCAACATATCGCGTCAATGAAACACATGCTCGACTACTGCTTTTTACGAAATGAGTGCAACGGCTCGATGCAAGCTTGGCAGCTGCAAGCTTCCGAGATGTTGCAGCACGTCGTGAGACAGCCTCCCCCTCATTACGATAAGATGCACACCTGCGTTCAGATACCCAAGCTCTTTACCTCGATCAATTGGCCTCACGATCACAATCTTCTGATTCACACATTCCGACCCGCTTGTTCGTATTGACACGTTCCTTCTTACTGATATTGACTTGCTCCTAACTGTTATTAACTTGCTCCATTCGATCCGTCTCCATTTCTGCACACGTGATTCGCCATACCTCTCTCGTAGCTGTTGTAAACCAAAGCCCGCCATGAATTGCCTTACACCTTTGCAATATCCCAAAGCGAACACTTGCATTCCACTTCATTCCCCCCCAGCAAACATGCTTTGGGGAGCATCGATAGACGCGTCAACACGTCATCGATATCGGTCGCCAGGTTGAAGCTGGTGTTGAACACTACAATTGACAAGGTTGGGTTACACTACGACAAGGTCGTCAGCTCTGACCACTAGCGTCAATACTGATATAGGCACAGTACAAACTTTGACTCCCGATGCAAACCATGAAACAAGCACTGACACCGACCTCCATTCGTACTGTTAATGGCTGCACCTTGTAGCATGCACCACGAATCGATGAGTATCGCAAACCCAGCCTGGAATCAGCTACCACATTCGCTAAGAAACGGACAAGTACAAACGATGACTGCGAAATCGCCTTTCACGCTCGTGGCTGGAGACATGATCGAACTTACGCAGGCCTTCCCGACTATCAGCCCGATCAATCAATCACCTAAAGTAGTCACCTGACGGTTCGTGACCTTTTATGCCCGTCCAACACGAGCCCCACTCGCGAGCTCGTCTTACCGATCCCACTCACTCAAAATCCCTGACACTGCCAGTGCACCACGGCAAGGAAGTTATCGACTGATCGACCGACCGACCGACCGATCGGGCGACAGACGAACTCGACCATGAAGATCTCGGCTCTCGCCATCACTGCGCTAGCCATCTAAAATAGCGTCGCGTCGCTGACGTACTATCAGCCGGTGCTCTAAGTGGCTCTTGCGCTGCCCGCACAGAGCCAACTGCACCGCTTGCGGCCACCTTGCCTTCCGACCCGACCGGGCAACAATCCTCTTCTCACCTGTGGAGGCTGCTGCTGCTGCAGCTGCCAACACGGGAGGCATGATTTCAAGATTGATGACAGCTTAAGAAGGCCGGCGGAGGTGGGGCGACCGGGATGTGGCTCGTTGGGGGAGAAGGGCTATGGATGGGGGCGTCCCTTTGGCTTCGGCTGCGGTGGGTGGCTACAGGGGTGGCTAGGGTGGATGCTCTAGCGGCTGGGGATGGTAGACGTCACAAATCGAGCTAACACCATCGACACGTTCTTGCAACCCTGCCGCACTCTCACAATGTTTTACGTGGACAGAACAAGGCGACTGCAATGTAGCCAATCAAATGTAAATTCGGTATGCTTCGTTCAGCCTCGCTTTGTTCTCTAACGCTTTGGGTTCGTCATGTTGTTCTGGTCTGCCACATTGGTTCAACATAGTCGCGTCAGTGAAACACAATGTGCTCAACTACCTTTTGTGTTGAGTGCAACGGCAGAGTTGCAAGCTTGGCGCTGCAGCACTTCGAGCTGTTTGCAGCACGTCTGTAGTCACGCCTCCCACTCATTACGATATTGATATACACGTTCTTAGATCAACTCGCCTCGATCAATTGGCCCTCGATCCACTTTTTTTCTGATTCACACATTCCGACCGCTTGTTACCATTGACACGTTCGCTTCTTGCTCGATACTGACTTCAAGCTCCTACTGATATTTGACCTTGCTCCATTCGATCGCTCCATTCTGCACAAGAGGTTGCCACACTTTCTAGTAGCGTTGTAAACCAAGCGCTGGGGTGAATTTGCACCCTTTGCACGTATCCCAAAGCAAAGACGGCACCCACCCTACATTTCTCACTAAACATGCTTTGAGAGTATCGATAGACGGGCTCAACACTGGTCATCGATATCCGGACGCCAGAGTTGAGCCTGGTGTTTGAAACACTACGACAAGGTTGAACCACTACGACAAGGTCATCAGCTCTGGCCACTAGCGTCCTGATACGGAGTGGAGACACAGTGCAACACGACTACCGATGAAAATCAGAGAAACAAGCACTGACACCGACCTCCATCGTACTGTTCGTGGTCACCTCGTAGCATGCACCACGAATCGATGAGTATCGGAACCAGCCAGGAATCAGCTACCACATTCGCTAAGAAACGGAAAAACACAAACGTGACTCGAAATTGCCCTTTTCACGCTCGTGGCTGGAAACACGATCGAAACACGCGGGCCTTCCCAACTATCAGCTTGATCCAACTCAATCAACTGAAGCAGTCACCATGACGGTTCGTGACCATTTACCCGTCGCAACACCAGCCCACTCGCGAGCTCGTCTACCGATCCCCACTCACTCACTATCCAATTGACACTGCCAGTGCACCACGCAGCGAGGAAGTTATCGACTGACGACCTACCGACCTACCGACCGATCAAGCGACAGGCGAACTCGACCATGAAGATCACCGCTCTCGCCATCATTGCGCTAGCCACCGTAGCAAGCGTCGCATCCGCTGACGACTACCAGCCGGCTCTCGAGCACTTGCCGCACAGGTAAAGCCAACTGCACCTATTGCCGGACGCACTTGTCTTGCCGCCCCGACCAAGCAACAATCCTCTTCTCCTGTGGAGGCTGCTGCTGCAGCTGCCAACACGGAGCATGATGTCGACGATGACAGCAAGAAGGCCCAAGGAGTGGTGGGGACGACCGGGATGGGGGCATCGCTGGGGAGGCTATGGATGTGGGGCGTCCTGGGGGTGGGTACGGTGGTGGCTGGGAGTGGATACGGTGGCGGCTGGGGATGGTAGACGTCACACATCAACGACACCATCGACACGCTTGCAACCTGCCGCACTCTCACACGGACGGAACAGAACAAAGCGACGCAATGCAGCCAATCAAATGGAAATCGGCATGCTCATTCAGCCTCCTTTGTTCTCCAACGCTCTGAGTTCGTCCAATGTTGTTCTGGTCGCCACATTGGTTAACATATCGCGTCAATGAAACACACGCTCGACTACCTTTTGTGTTTTTAGAGTGCAACGGCTCGTACTTGGCGCTGCATACTTCCGAGATGTTGCAGCACGTCGGAGACAGCCTCCCCCTCATTACGATAAGATACACACGTTCAGGATCAACTCTCACCTCGATCAATTGGCCTCGATCAACTCTTCTGATTCACACATTCCGACCCGGTAATTCGTATTGACACGTTCCTTCTTACTGATATTGACTTGCTCCCTACTGATATTGACTTGCTCCATTCGATCGCTCCATTTCTGCACAGTGATTGCCATACTCTCTGTAGCTGTAAACCAAGCGCTATGAATTGCCGCACCCTTGCAATATCCCAAAGCAAACGCTTGCATTCCACTTCATTTCCACCAAACATGCATTGAGAGTATCGATAGACGTCAACACTGTCATCGATATCGGTCGCCAGATTGAAGCTGGTGTTGACACTACGACGGTTGAACACCGACGAGGTCATCAGCTCTGGCCACTAGCGTCGATACGGATGTGGACACAGTACAACACGACTCCCGACGCAAACCAGGAAACAAACACTGACACCGACCTCCATCTGTCTGTTCGTGGCCACCTCGTAGCATGCACCACGAATCGATGAGTATCGGAACCAGCCAGAAATCAGCTACCACATTCGCAAAGAAACGGACAAAACACAAACGTGACTCCGAAATAGCCTTTCACGCTCGTGGCTGGAAACACGATCGAAACACGCGGGCCTCTCCAACTATCAGCCCGTCAACTCAATCAACTGAAGCAGTCACCATGACGGTTCGTGACCATTTACCCGTCACAACACCAGCCCACTCGCGAGCTCGTCTACCGATCCCACTCACTCACTATCCAAAATTGACACCTGCCAGTGCACCACGCAGCGAGGAAGTTATCGACTCGACCGACCGACCGACCGACCGATCAAGCGACAGACGAACTCGACCCATAAAGATCACCGCTCTCTCGCCATCACTGCGCTAGCCACCGTAGCAAGCGTCGCATCCGCTAACGACTACCAGCCGGCGCTCCGAGCACTTGCCGCACAGGAGCCAACTGCACCCATTACCGTACACACTTGCTTCCCGACCCGACCAAGCAACTATCCTCCTCCTGTGGAGGCTGCTGCTGCAGCTGCCAACACGGAGCCTGATGTCGACGATGACAGCAAGAAGGTCAAGGAGTGGGTGGGGGACGACTGGGATGGGGACATCGCTGGGGGAGGCTATGGATGGGGGGCGTCCCTGGGGTGGATGCGGTGGTGGCTGGGGTGGATGCAGTGGCGGCTGGGGATGGTAGACGTCACACATCAAACGACACCATCGACACGCTTGCAACCTGCCGCACTCCTCACACGGACGGAACAGAACAAGGCGACTGCAATGTAGCCAATCAAATGGAAATCGGCATGCTCATTCAGCCTCGCTTTGTTCTCCAACGCTCTGAGTTCGTCCAATGTTGTTCTGGTCGCCACATTGGTTCAACATATCGCGTCAATGAAACACACGCTCGACTACCTTTTGTGTTGAGTGCAACGGCTCGATGCAAGCTTGGCGCTGCAAGCTTCCGAGATGTTGCAGCACGTCGCAGACAGCCTTCCCCATCATTACGATAAGATACACACGTTTAGATCAACTCGCCTCGATCAATTTGCCTCGATCCACTTTTCTGATTCACACTTCCGACCCGCTTGTTCGTATTGACACGTTCCCTCTTACTGATATTGACTTGCTCCTACTGATATTGACTTTGCTCCATTCGATCGCTCCATTTCTGCACAGTGATTAACATACTTTCTCGTAGCTGTAAACCAAGCGCTATGAATTGCCGCGCCCCTTGCAATATCCCAAAGCAAACCCTTGCATTCCACTTCATTTCCACCAAACATGCATTGAGAGTATTCGACAGACGTCAACACGTCATCGATATCGGACGCCAGATTGAAGCTGGTGTTGACAACACCGACAAGGTCATCAGCTCTGGCCACAGCGTCGATACGGGATGTGGACACAGTACAAACGACTCCCGACGCAAATCAAGAAACAAACACTGACACCGACCTCCATCGTACTGTTCGTGGTTTCACCTCTTAGCATGCACCACGAATCGATGAGTATCGGAACCAGCCAGAAATCAGCTACCACATTCGCAAACAAACGGAAAAACACAAACGTGACTCGAAATAGCCCTTCACACTCGTGGCTGGAAACACGATCAAAACACGCGGGCCTTCCAACTATCAGCTTGATCAACTCAATCAACTAAAGCAGTCACCATGACGGTTCGTGACCATTTACCCGTCACGACACCAGCCCACTCGCGTGAGGCTCGTCTACCGATCCCACTCACTCACTATCCAATTGACACTGCCAGTGCACCACGCAGCGAGGAAGTTATCGACTCGACCGACCGACCGACCGACCGACCGATCAAGCGACAGACGAACTCGACCATGAAGATCACCGCTCTCGCCATCACTGCGCTAGCCACCGTAGCAAGCGTCGCATCCGCTGACGACTACCAGCCGGCTCTCCGAGCACTTGCCGCACAGGAGCCAACTGCACCCATTGCCGACACACTTGCTTCCGACCCGACCAAGCAACAATCCTCTTCTCCTGTGGAGGGCTGCTGCTGCAGCTGCCAACACGGAGCATAATGTCGACGATGACAGCAAGAAGGTCAAGGAGTGGTGGGGGCGACCGGGATGGGGGACATCGCTGGGGAGGCTATGGATGGGGGGCGTCCCTGGGGTGGGTACGGTGGTGGCTGGGGGGTGGATACGGTGGCGGCTGGGGATGGTAGACGTCACACATCAACGACACCATCGACACGCTTGCAACCTGCCGCACTCTCACACGGACGGAACAGAACAAGGCGACTGCAATGTAGCCAATCAAATGGAAATCGGCATGCTCATTCAGCCTCGCTTTGTTCTCTAACGCTCTGAGTTCGTCCAATGTTGCTTCTGGTCGCCACATTGGTTCAACATAAATCGCGTCAATGAAACACACGCTCGACTACCTTTTTTGTGTTGAGTGCAACGGCTCGGTGCAAGCTTGGCGCTGCATACTTCCGAGATGTTGCAGCACGTCGTAGTCAGCCTCCCCCTCATTACGATACGATACACACGTTCAGATCAACTCGCCTCGATCAATTGGCCTCGATCCAATTTCTTCTGATTCACACATTCCGACCCGCTTGTTCGTATTGACACGTTCGCTCTTACTGATATTGACTTGCTCCTACTGATATTGACTTGCTCCATTCGATCGCTCCATTTCTGCACAGTGATTGCCATACTTTCTCTGTAGCTGTAAACCAAGCGCTATGAATTGCCGTACCCTTTGCAATATCCCAAAGCAAACGCTTGCATTCCACTTCATTTCCACCAAACATGCATTGAGAGTATCGATAGACGTCAACACGTCATCGATATCGGTCGCCAGGTTGAAGCTGGTGTTGAACACTACGACAAGGTTGAACACTACGACAAGGTCGTCAGCTCTGGCCACAGCGTCAAGACGGATGTGGACACAGTACAACACGACTCCCGATGCAAATCAAGAAACAAACACTGACACCGACCTCCATCGTACTGTTCGTGGCCACCTCGTAGCATGCACCACGAATCGATGAGTATCGGAACCAGCCAGGAATCAGCTACCACATTCGCAAAGAAACGGACAAACACAAACGTGACGCGAAATTGCCTTTCACGCTCGTGGCTGGAAACATGATCGAAACACGCGGGCCTTCCAACCATCAGCTTGATCCAACTCAATCAACTGAAGCAGTCACCATGACGGTTCGTGACCATTTACCCGTCACAACACCAGCCCACTCGCGAGCTCGTCTACCGATCCCACTCACTCACTATCCAATTGACACTGCCAGTGCACCACGCAGCGAGGAAGTTTATCGACTCGACCGACCGACCGACCGACCGATCAAGCGACAGACGAACTCGACCATGAAGATCACCGCTCTCGCCATCACTGCGCTAGCCACCGTAGCAAGCGTCGCATCCGCTGACGACTACCAGCCGGCTCTCCCGAGCACTTGCCGCACAGGAGCCAACTGCATCCATTGCCGACACACTTGCTTCCGACCCGACCAAGCAACAATCCTCTTCTCCTGTGGAGGCTGCTGCTGCAGCTGCCAACACGGAGCATAATGTCGACGATGACAGCAAGAAGGCCAAGGAGTGGTGGGGACGACCGGGATGGGGACATCGCTGGGGGAGGCTATGGATGGGGGCGTCCCCTGGGGTGGGTACGGTGGTGGCTGGGGTGGATACGGTGGCGGCTGGGGATGGTAGACGTCACACATCAACGACACCATCGACACGCTTGCAACCTGCCGCACTCTCACACGGACGGAACAGAACAAGGCGACTGCAATGTAGCCAATCAAATGGAAATCGGCATGCTCATTCAGCCTCGCTTTGTTCTCTAACGCTGTGAGTTCGTCCAATGTTGTTCTGGTCGCCACATTGGTTCAACATATCGCGTCAATGAAACACATGCTCGACTACCTTTTGTGTTGGAGTGCAACGGCTCGGTGCAAGCTTGGCGCTGCATGCTTCCGAGATGTTGCAGCACGTCGTAGACAGCCTCCCCCTCATTACGATACGATACACACGTTCAGATCAACTCGCCTCGATCAATTGGCCTCGATCCACTTTTCTGATTCACACATTCCGACCCGCTTGTTCGTATTGACACGTTCGCTCTTACTGATATTGACTTGCTCCTACTGATAGTGACTTGCTCCATTCGATCGCTCCATTTCTGCACAGTGATTGCCATACTTTCTTGTAGCTGTAAACCAAGCGCTATGAATTGCCGTACCCTTTGCAATATCCCAAAGCAGACGCTTGCATTCCACTTCATTTCCACCAAACATGCATTGAGAGTATCGATAGACGTCAACACGTCATCGATATCGGTCGCCAGGTTGAAGCTGGTGTTGAACACTACGACAAGGTTGAGCACTACGACAAGGTTACCAGCTCTGGCCACAGCGTCGATACGGATGTGGACACAGTACAACACGACTCCCGACGCAAATCAAGAAACAAGCACTGACACCGACCTCCATCGTACTGTTCGTGGCCACCTCGTAGCATGCACCACGAATCGATGAGTATCAGAACCAGCCAGGAATCAGCTACCACATTCGCAAAGAAACGGACAAACACAAACGTGACGCGAAATAGCCTTTCACGCTCGTGGCTGGAAACATGATCAAAACACGCGGGCCTTCCGACCATCAGCTTGATCAACTCAATCAACTGAAGCAGTCACCATGACGGTTCGTGACCATTTACCCGTCACAACACCAGCCCACTCGCGAGCTCGTCTACCGATCCCACTCACTCACTATCCAATTGACACTGCCAGTGCACCACGCAGCAGAGGAAGTTATCGACTCGACCGACCGACCGACCGACCGATCAAGCGACAGACGAACTCGACCATGAAGATCACCGCTCTCGCCATCACTGCGCTAGCCACCGTAGCAAGCGTCGCATCCGCTGACGACTACCAGCCGGCTCTCCGAGCACTTGCCGCACAGGAGCCAACTGCACCATTGCCGACACACTTGCTTCCGACCCGACCAAGCAACAATCCTCTTCTCCTGTGGAGGCTGCTGCTGCAGCTGCCAACACGGAGCATAATGTCGACGATGACAGCAAGAAGGCCAAGGAGTGGTGGGGACGACCGGGATGGGGACATCGCTGGGGAGGCTATGGATGGGGGCGTCCCTGGGGTGGGTACGGTGGTGGCTGGGGGGTGGATACGGTGGCGGCTGGGGATGGTAGACGTCACACATCAACGACACCATCGACACGCTTGCAACCTGCCGCACTCTCACACGGACGGAACAGAACAAGGCGACTGCAATGTAGCCAATCAAATGGAAATCGGCATGCTCATTCAGCCTCGCTTTGTTCTCTAACGCTCTGAGTTCGTCCAATGTTGTTCTGGTCGCCACATTGGTTCAACATATCGCGTCAATGAAACACATGCTCGACTACCTTTTGTGTTGAGTGCAACGGCTCGGTGCAAGCTTGGCGCTGCATACTTCCGAGATGTTGCAGCACGTCGCAGTCAGCCTCCCCTCATTACGATAAGATACACACGTTCAGATCAACTCGCCTCGATCAATTTGGCCTCGATCAAATCTTCTGATTCACACATTCCGACCCGCTTGTTCGTATTGACACGTTCCTTCTTACTGATATTGACTTGCTCCTACTGATAGTGACTTGCTCCATTCGATCGCTCCATTTCTGCACAGTGATTGCCATACTTTCTTGTAGTTGTAAACCAAGCGCTATGAATTGCCGTACCCTTTGAAATATCCCAAAGCAGACGCTTGCATTCCACTTCATTTCCACCAAACATGCTTTGAGAGTATCGATAGACGTCAACACGTCATCGATATCGGACGCCAGATTGAAGCTGGTGTTGAACACTACGACAAGGTTGAACACTACGACAAGGTCGTCAGCTCTGGCCACAGCGTCAAGACGGATGTGGACACAGTACAACACGACTCCCGATGCAAATCAAGAAACAAACACTGACACCGACCTCCATCGTACTGTTCGTGGCCACCTCGTAGCATGCACCACGAATCGATGAGTATCGGAACCAGCCAGGAATCAGCTACCACATTCGCAAAGAAACGGACAAACACAAACGTGACACGAAATAGCCTTTCACGCTCGTGGCTGGAAACATGATCGAAACACGCGGGCCTTCCGACCATCAGCTTGATCAACTCAATCAACTGAAGCAGTCACCATGACGGTTCGTGACCATTTACCCGTCACAACACCAGCCCACTCGTGAGCTCGTCTACCGATCCCACTCACTCACTATCCAATTGACACTGCCAGTGCACCACGCAGCGAGGAAGTTATCGACTCGACCGACCGACCGACCGACCGATCAAGCGACAGACGAACTCGACCATGAAGATCACCGCTCTCGCCATCACTGCGCTAGCCACCGTAGCAAGCGTCGCATCCGCTGACGACTACCAGCCGGCTCTCCGAGCACTTGCCGCACAGGAGCCAACTGCACCCATTGCCGACACACTTGCTTCCGACCCGACCAAGCAACAATCCTCTTCTCCTGTGGAGGGCTGCTGCTGCAGCTGCCAACACGGAGCATGATGTCGACGATGACAGCAAGAAGGCCAAGGAGTGGTGGGGACGACCGGGATGGGGACATCGCTGGGGAGGCTATGGATGGGGGGGCGTCCCTGGGGTGGGTACGGTGGTGGCTGGGGGGTGGATACGGTGGCGGCTGGGGATGGTAGACGTCACACATCAACGACACCATCGACACGCTTGCAACCTGCCGCACCTCTCACACGGACGGAACAGAACAAGGCGACTGCAATGTAGCCAATCAAATGGAAATCGGCATGCTCATTCAGCCTCGCTTTGTTCTCTAACGCTCTGAGTTCGTCCAATGTTGTTCTGGTCGCCACATTGGTTCAACATATCGCGTCAATGAAACACATGCTCGACTACCTTTTGTGTTGAGTGCAACGGCTCGGTGCAAGCTTGGCGCTGCATACTTCCGAGATGTTGCAGCACGTCGTAGACAGCCTCCCCCTCATTACGATAAGATACACACGTTCAGATCAACTCGCCTCGATCAATTGGCCTCGATCAACTCTTCTGATTCACACGTTCCGACCCGCTTGTTCGTATTGACACGTTCGCTTCTTACTGATATTGACTTGCTCCTACTGATATTGACTTGCTCCATTCGATCGCTCCATTTCTGCTCAGTGATTGCCATACTTTCTCGCAGCTGTAAACCAAGCGCTATGAATTGCCGTACCCTTTGCAATATCCCAAAGCAAACACTTGCATTCCACTTCATTTCCACCAAACATGCATTGAGAGTATCGACAGACGTCAACACGTCATCGATATCGGACGCCAGATTGAAGCTGGTGTTGAACACTACGACAAGGTTGAGCACTACGACAAGGTTACCAGCTCTGGCCACAGCGTCGATACGGATGTGGACACAGTACAACACGACTCCCGACGCAAATCAAGAAACAAGCACTGACACCGACCTCCATCGTACTGTTCGTGGCCACCTCGTAGCATGCACCACGAATCGATGAGTATCGGAACCAGCCAGGAATCAGCTACCACATTCGCAAAGAAACGGACAAACACAAACGTGACTCGAAATTGCCTTTCACGCTCGTGGCTGGAAACATGATCGAAACACGCGGGCCTTCCGACCATCAGCTTGATCAACTCAATCAACTGAAGCAGTCACCATGACGGTTCGTGACCATTTACCCGTCACAACACCAGCCCACTCGCGAGCTCGTCTACCGATCCCACTCACTCACTATCCAATTGACACTGCCAGTGCACCACGCAGCGAGGAAGTTATCGACTCGACCGACCGACCGACCGACCGACCAAGCGACAGACGAACTCGACCATGAAGATCACCGCTCTCGCCATCACTGCTCTATCTACCGTAGCAAGCGTCGCATCCGCTGACGACTACCAGCCGGCTCTCCGAGCACTTTCCGCACAGGAGCCAACTGCACCCATTGCCGACACACTTGCTTCCGACCCGACCAAGCAACAATCCTCTTCTCCTGTGGAGGCTGCTGCTGCAGCTACCAACACGGAGCATGATGTCGACGATGACAGCAAGAAGGCCAAGGAGTGGTGGGGACGACCGGGATGGGGACATCGCTGGGGAGGCTATGGATGGGGGGCGTCCCTGGGGTGGGTACGGTGGTGGCTGGGGTGGATACGGTGGCGGCTGGGGATGGTAGACGTCACACATCAACGACACCATCGACACGCTTGCAACCTGCCGCACTCTCACACGGACGGAACAGAACAAGGCGACTGCAATGTAGCCAATCAAATGGAAATCGGCATGCTCATTCAGCCTCGCTTTGTTCTCTAACGCTGTGAGTTCGTCCAATGTTGTTCTGGTCGCCACATTGGTTCAACATATCGCGTCAATGAAACACATGCTCGACTACCTTTTGTGTTGAGTGCAACGGCTCGGTGCAAGCTTGGCGCTGCATACTTCCGAGATGTTGCAGCACGTCGTAGTCAGCCTCCCCCTCATTACGATAAGATACACACGTTTAGATCAACTCGCCTCGATCAATTGGCCTCGATCAAATCTTCTGATTCACACATTCCGACCCGCTTGTTCGTATTGACACGTTCGCTCTTACTGATATTGACTTGCTCCTACTGATATTGACTTGCTCCATTCGATCGCTCCATTTCTGCACAGTGATTGCCATACTTTCTTAGTAGCTGTAAACCAAGCGCTATGAATTGCCGTACCCTTTGCAATATCCCAAAGCAAACGCTTGCATTCCACTTCATTTCCACCAAACATGCATTGAGAGTATCGATAGACGTCAACACTGTCATCGATATCGGTCGCCAGATTGAAGCTGGTGTTGAACACTACGACAAGGTTGAGCACTACGACAAGGTCATCAGCTCTGGCCACAGCGTCGATACGGATGTGGACACAGTACAACACGACTCCCGATGCAAATCAAGAAACAAGCACTGACACCGACCTCCATCGTACTGTTCGTGGCCACCTCGTAGCATGCACCACGAATCGATGAGTATCGGAACCAGCCAGGAATCAGCTACCACATTCGCAAAGAAACGGACAAACACAAACGTGACTCGAAATTGCCTTTCACGCTCGTGGCTGGAAACATGATCGAAACACGCGGGCCTTCCGACTATCAGCTTGATCAACTCAATCAACTGAAGCAGTCACCATGACGGTTCGTGACCATTTACCCGTCACAACACCAGCCCACTCGCGAGCTCGTCTACCGATCCCACTCACTCACTATCCAATTGACACTGCCAGTGCACCACGCAGCGAGGAAGTTATCGACTCGACCGACCGACCGACCGACCGATCAAGCGACAGACGAACTCGACCATGAAGATCACCGCTCTCGCCATCACTGCGCTAGCCACCGTAGCAAGCGTCGCATCCGCTGACGACTACCAGCCGGCTCTCCGAGCACTTGCCGCACAGGAGCCAACTGCACCCATTGCCGACACACTTGCTTCCGACCCGACCAAGCAACAATCCTCTTCTCCTGTGGAGGCTGCTGCTGCAGCTGCCAACACGGAGCATGATGTCGACGATGACAGCAAGAAGGCCAAGGAGTGGTGGGGACGACCGGGATGGGGACATCGCTGGGGAGGCTATGGATGGGGGCGTCCCTGGGGTGGGTACGGTGGTGGCTGGGGTGGATACGGTGGCGGCTGGGGATGGTAGACGTCACACATCAACGACACCATCGACACGCTTGCAACCTGCCGCACTCTCACACGGACGGAACAGAACAAGGCGACTGCAATGTAGCCAATCAAATGGAAATCGGCATGCTCATTCAGCCTCGCTTTGTTCTCTAACGCTCTGAGTTCGTCCAATGTTGTTCTGGTCGCCACATTGGTTCAACATATCGCGTCAATGAAACACATGCTCGACTACCTTTTGTGTTGAGTGCAACGGCTCGGTGCAAGCTTGGCGCTGCATACTTCCGAGATGTTGCAGCACGTCGTAGTCAGCCTCCCCCTCATTACGATAAGATACACACGTTCAGATCAACTCGCCTCGATCAATTGGCCTCGATCAAATCTTCTGATTCACACATTCCGACCCGCTTGTTCGTATTGACACGTTCGCTCTTACTGATATTGACTTGCTCCTACTGATATTGACTTGCTCCATTCGATCGCTCCATTTCTGCACAGTGATTGCCATACTTTCTTGTAGCTGTAAACCAAGCGCTATGAATTGCCGTACCCTTTGCAATATCCCAAAGCAAACACTTGCATTCCACTTCATTTCCACCAAACATGCATTGAGAGTATCGACAGACGTCAACACTGTCATCGATATCGGTCGCCAGGTTGAAGCTGGTGTTGAACACTACGACAAGGTTGAGCACTACGACAAGGTCGTCAGCTCTGGCCACAGCGTCGATACGGATGTGGACACAGTACAACACGACTCCCGACGCAAATCAAGAAACAAGCACTGACACCGACCTCCATCGTACTGTTCGTGGCCACCTCGTAGCATGCACCACGAATCGATGAGTATCGGAACCAGCCAGGAATCAGCTACCACATTCGCAAATAAACGGACAAACACAAACGTGACTCGAAATTGCCTTTCACGCTCGTGGCTGGAAACATGATCGAAACACGCGGGCCTTCCAACCATCAGCTTGATCAACTCAATCAACTGAAGCAGTCACCATGACGGTTCGTGACCATTTACCCGTCACAACACCAGCCCACTCGCGAGCTCGTCTACCGATCCCACTCACTCACTATCCAATTGACACTGCCAGTGCACCACGCAGCGAGGAAGTTATCGACTCGACCGACCGACCGACTCGACGACCGATCAAGCGACAGACGAACTCGACCATGAAGATCACCGCTCTCGCCATCACTGCGCTAGCCACCGTAGCAAGCGTCGCATCCGCTGACGACTACCAGCCGGCTCTCCGAGCACTTGCCGCACAGGAGCCAACTGCACCCATTGCCGACACACTTGCTTCCGACCCGACCAAGCAACAATCCTCTTCTCCTGTGGAGGCTGCTGCTGCAGCTGCCAACACGGAGCATGATGTCGACGATGACAGCAAGAAGGCCAAGGAGTGGTGGGGACGACCGGGATGGGGACATCGCTGGGGAGGCTATGGATGGGGGCGTCCCTGGGGTGGGTACGGTGGTGGCTGGGGTGGATACGGTGGCGGCTGGGGATGGTAGACGTCACACATCAACGACACCATCGACACGCTTGCAACCTGCCGCACTCTCACACGGACGGAACAGAACAAGGCGACTGCAATGTAGCCAATCAAATGGAAATCGGCATGCTCATTCAGCCTCGCTTTGTTCTCTAACGCTCTGAGTTCGTCCAATGTTGTTCTGGTCGCCACATTGGTTCAACATATCGCGTCAATGAAACACATGCTCGACTACCTTTTGTGTTGAGTGCAACGGCTCGGTGCAAGCTTGGCGCTGCATACTTCCGAGATGTTGCAGCACGTCGTAGTCAGCCTCCCCCTCATTACGATAAGATACACACGTTTCAGATCA